AAGGGTGTGAACTTGAGATGTTTTTGTCCTTTTTCCCATTCCCTCCCTTAATTGCACTTGAAGGTTTTCCAGGGTGCCCCTTTCCCTGTGCAGCCCTGACACACAGGCTGTGCGTGGCGCTGTCCACACACCTCCTTGTGTCCCGCAGACACCAGATGCATCTTTCCATTTCTTATTTAAAATGTCCTCATTGTGCAAAGTGGTCACCTCATGACCCTCTCCTTTCCCCCCTCTAATTCATGAGTTCAGCCTCTCAGGACACTTTTATGTAAAGTCTAAAATATCATGGCAGCATTTCAGGGTGTCACAGAAAGCTGGGCTCCGCGATGGCTCATGCAGACCCCAGTCCGTTCCAGGATCTTCCACACCAGATCTTAACAATGTATGGAGAGCATGTATTAACACAATCTATTAGATCATCTTGGGGTGGTTCCGTCTGCAGTATAATTGACCATTTTAAATGTGGAACTATATAATTAGATTAAGAGGATTAGTTGTCCATTTCTTGGCAGTGGCCTCCGCCTCGAGATGGTTTTGTAATTTCTAGAAAGTGTCACTTGTTACGCAGGAATGCAAGTGGAGGAATAAAGATTCAGAACAGCACTGACTACTTCCTGCCGGGATGGGTGGCGGGTGAAGAATGTAACCAGGAAATGGCATCATGAGTTTTGAAGGAAAAAAAGGACTTCCATGGGTGAAAGAGTGGAGAGAGAGAGAGTATCTCAGTTACAGTGAGAGAAAGGAAAGATGAATGCTGAGGAAAAGCTAAACATTTGAAGGAAGCAATACACATCGACCATATACTAATAATAATCACAGCAACCGTGGGAAGCCATGCGAGGCTAAGTTTTAGGGAACAAAGAACCCGCACTCTTGATTTAGTACATCGTAGTACATTATAACATACTGAAAGAAGTGCTATGACATCTCCAAGAAAACCTCGACAGAGCTGTTAAGTTGCTGGGGTCTGAAATGAGTTGTTGAGATGAGATAGAACAAGGTAGGAGCAGGAGCTATCTGTTCAGAGAGGAGTCACAGGGGAAAAGTTAAACAAGATGACAGCTTTGCGTTAGACTAGCCGAGTGAATCATTAAAGACTATCTGGAAAACATATGCACAGGTCGGGGTGGAAATACAAAGTTGGATTCACTGCATTTGAAGTGGCAGCAAACCTTGCCAGTCAGATGGGCTTTGGCGATACTGACGACAGATGGCAATCTGAAGCCATTCCTTGGGAGTAGGGGAGGACTCAATAGGGCCAGAGAACAATGGGAGATAGACTGGTCCTCTAACAGTGGGACTGTCAATATCCTGAGAGAGAGAGAGAGAGAGAGAGAGAAAGTGTGTGTGTGTGTGTGTGTGTGTGTGTGTGTGTGTGTGTGTGTGTTTCTTTCCCTTGCTTCCAAGACTTATTCTCCACCTTGGGCAGGAGGATAATTCAGCCCCTCATCACTAACTATAAAGATGTCTGTGGACCCTTCCCTGGTGACCTTTTTACAATTGAGAGTTGAAAGCAATATCCATCTACAGCATGATTATTGAAAGGTCTGGCTGTACATAATCTCTTCTAGTAGCCAGAAGGCATTTGTTGAAATACGAATTTTCTTGGTTAGACATCTTTAGGAAATTTAGATGACTGCTTTTCTATCGTTGACTCAAGTCTACATATCCATGATATACTATTTTTATATTTCAGCCACGATTTTCTATTTGTTTCTGTATTTTTAAGAAAATAACACCTAGTTCTCTGAGAGATATTAATTTGCATTTTTTACAATGTCTTTCACATTGGTATCATGCTAGAGATTTAAAAGTCTGGTTAAAAAGTGTCCTTTTTCTTTTCTAGAAAAGGTTAGAAGGGATTGGGATTAACATTTTCTTAAAATATCTGAAAAAAAATTTCAAGTGAACCCATTCTGGCCTAGAATTGCCTTTGTAGAAGGTATTTCACCTATGAGATCACTTTGATTGTCTATGTTCCCCTGAGTGACTTTTATTGGCTAAAAGTCATTTTATTATTTTTTGCCTAAATTATTTCATTTTTTCCACTAAGAAGTGCATGATGTCCTAAAATTTGAATGTCTTCACACTCTGATGTGACCTTTCCCCCATATTTTATTTACATTTGTGTTCTTATCCCACCTGCCTTATGCGTTTCTTTTAGATGTAGTACATTTTATGATTTAATAGAGTTGGTATTTTCTAGAATAGAGATAAAATAGGAAAAGCGTCCTTAAGAATCACAGCTGAAATTCTCACTAAGTAAATGAAGACGCAGAGGGTAAGGGTGGGGAAACATTGGCCTCTTGTAAACGTGCACTTGTTGGGAAGCCTGGAGGTATATAGGTCTTCAATCATTGATCTGAGCTAAATATATAACAATAACACCATTGGGATAGCTAAGATATAAAGATATCTCCAAGTAAGCCTAAAAATGGTAAAATGGAGGGGGGGGAGAATCATCATGTGGTTACATTATTTTACAGATCAACTTAATTTTTAATAATATTCAGCCAAATTTTGGTTCACTTATATTGAGATTACGAGCTTCTTTTGGATAGTGTTACTCGGGTCCTGAACCGCCTAAAGAATCCTCCTGTTTCATCCTTCTTCCTGTGGGCCCCACAGATGAATGCTGCCACAGCAAAGTCCACTCCAGACTTTTCCAACCATTAAGGGCTGCATAGACCTATATTTGTAGCTAATTGGGAAGCTGAGGCAAGAGGATTACAAAATCAGATTCAACACCATCCTAGGCTACAAAATCAATTCAAAGCCAGCTTTGGCAACTTAGCAAAACTCTGTTGCAAGAGAAAAAGAAAAGAAAAGAAAAGAAAAGAAAAGAAAAGAAAAGAAAAGAAAAGAAAAGAAAAAGAGGACTGGAGACATACCTCCAGAGAAGAGTGCTTGCCTAGCATGTGGCACCATAAAATCCATCATACCTACATGCACACTCAAATAGCTATTGTTGATTTAGTTATGACTGAATCAAGAGATCTAGAGTAGCAGCTAAGTGAGACTTCTCCCACTTTCTCATAGCTCAGTCCTCTGAGAAGCCAGAGGAAAGTAGACGGTAGGAATTCGTGCTGGTGAGCAGGAATACAGTGGACAGAAACTTGGCAGGCAAGATGGATATTTTATGCAACTATGGGTTTGGGAAACGTTTGAACGATCAGGATAATTATTCTACTCTTTGAACTGTTTGCTATTCGTGTTGTATTCATTTTGTTTGGAAAGTTAGTTGTACGAAGAATGTAACAAATCATGAGCTGGGTAAAAAGGCACAACTGATCCCAACCCCTCCTCCCCATGGAAACTGGGATATCTCCAACGGATTCACATCTACGTGATCGGAACCAGCAGGCACACAGGCATCATCACAGGAAATGCCCTTTAATCTGCTTTCACATTTATAGCCTAGTTCTCAGGATAAATGGTCAGCCCTCATGCTTAGCACACATAGGGAATATTTTATGTGAAAACTAATGGAATGAGTCTGTACAGGCAGGGAGAATAAAATAAACAAACCCATCACACTCCAGCAGTGGTCACTACAGTGAAGAGGAAGGACACGGACGGTCAGCTCTGGCTGACAGCATCTGAGTGCTGCTGTTACCATTTCCAAGTGGACTATCCTGTGCATATTGCTTCAGTGCTGTTGTTTGCAAATGGGAAAACGGTTCCATCTCATCGATTTGACATAGTGGAGAATGAGTGAATACATGAATCACGTTGCAGCAGTGCCAGGGGTTTATTGTGCACATAGATGCAGTTGTTTTCAGGGCGAAGGACGTCTGCTTACACTCTGTGCTGTCCGTATTCTGAGGCTCTCTTGTATTAAAAGTACCTAGACTTTGCATGTCAAATTTCTATGCATTTGGTGATCATGTTAAAGTGTACTAAGAATAAAATTGCTAAATGTCTCTCAAGTGCTGCTCTCATGCATGGTTAAAGGCTTTTCTTGTGTTATATTTAGAGCCTAGCACAGCAACCGATTCTTCAGATATAATTGATGTTAGTTATAGTAATTATAGTTATATTTTGGTAGGTATACTCTAACACAGCGGGCTTTTTCAAAAACAAAATACGTTAGATATTTAAAACATAATTAAATTATATAGAAAACTGTATTTTGTAAATAATAAAAACCTTTATTTTGATCCTTTTTAGTGTTGTACACTATATATTATTTCAAAAATCTACAAAGGAAATACATGCTATCCCTATTTTTGCTAGTGTTCAATCAAAAGGTCTTCTAATATCCTACAAAGCCATTGACTAGGACAGCTGGGGTTTGGATTCCAGTGATCTTGCCTGAAGTTCATGCTCCCTTCCCTGCTATTGTCTGCCTCTCAGAAATGATTCACAAAACCATATTTTTTTCTCAGTTGGCCAATATATAGTAATTTAGTAATTTTTTTCTCTGCATATTTTGCATTTCATTGTAAAAAAAAGATGTGCCATTAAAGTTTGTTTTGAAATTACTGGCAACCCCTCAGCGCTCTGTTTCACATTATGAATGGCGGGATGCTGTGGGAGGTTTAAGAACAGAGAGAGATGCTCTCGAGGCTGCTTCTGGCTTCGCTGCTGACACTGTCTTGTGGGGATAAGCCGTTACATGGTGCTGGCCTTCGCCTTTCCATTTGTACACTAGAAAAAAAAAACAAAAAACAAAAAACAAAAAAACCCCACCCACACAGTGACTTCAAATAGTCATTCATTTCTGACGCTCTTTGGGTAGCATGGATCTTTACTGCCTTTCCATGAAAGGGCCAGTTGTTTAAACATAAACCAGTTTCCTAGATAACCAACTCTTGATTTGTAATAATCAAGTCCATAGGGAAGTCCCAGGATTCATAACATGGCTTCAGATAATCATAAACAAACCAAGAATGGGCTTGGAAAAGTCCCCTAAATTCTCCTAAGTTATCTGCATACTTAACAATATATATTTAAAATATCCTGATCTCTTTTTTTTTTTCTTTTCCTGTTTTCCACAGGACTATTTCACGAATGCAAATAAAGAATTGGAAAAAGACGCCCAGCAGGATTACCACCTCGAATACGCCATGGAAAACAGCACCCACACAGTGATCGAGTTTACCAGAGAACTGCACACGTGTGACGAGCATGACAAGACCGTCACGGTAAGGAGCGTGAGAGGGAAGGCTCCTGGTGAGGTGTGCTTACACCTGTGAAGATCCGATAGCATCGAAGGAGGAGCTCCTGGCAAAAAGGCTGCACCGCCAGCAAAGTCACACGGTCCTCAGGAATGTTTCCTCAGGGAAGTTTTGAACTCTTTACAAATCACACAAACTCCCACAGTTTTAAAACCGTGAATTTCACTCAAGGCATTTTTTTATGCAGATGTAACATTTTTGAAGATGTCTTTTGAGTCTGTTGATTTAAGAAAAATAAATACACGTCGGCTTTTTCCCCATAAAAATTTGAAACTAGATAATAAAGGTTTGATGGTTACACAGGAGAACCGCGAGGCTGAACATGAGAGTGCGGTTCACCTGATTGCGGACCAATCTGGCTTTGCAGGTTTCTAAACTCCCGATGAGTAGTAGGCAGACTATCACCACCTATTGGCTCGTTCTATGAGGTTTCTTATTTTCAGGTTTCACACAGAGTCATCGTCATGAATATGCAAATTGGAGGCCATGCACTCCTGTGGCACTTTGCATGGATTGCTTGTGCCGGTTCATTTCGACAGGCCAATAGAACTTTCTCTTTCTTTCTTTCTTTCTTTCTTTCTTTCTTTCTTTCTTTCTTTCTTAAATTCAATCCACTAAAGCTTCAAAAATGAGAATGTGAGAAATGTGAGATAATTCTGATTATCCTTCAGCCTGAGGAGTCAAGGAGGAAGACGAACACACACAAGCAGACCGGCCTCACTTTTCACGGAGCCCACAGCGCAACTCTAATTCAGTTGGAATACTTCTATATCATCAGACTTATGAACAACAGAACAAAAGGAACGCTTAAAACAAGAAGTCTCTTCTTTATTATTTATTCCCGGAGTTCTCATTTCAAGGAGCTGGCAAAACACTTCTTCTATCTGTGGAAGGATTCAGTCACTTTTCTGTACTCCTTCAAACCTTCCCCATCCCTCAGTCCCTCAGGCAGTCTCTCTCTCTCTCTCTCTCTCTCTCTCTCTCTCTCTCTCTCTGTGGCTCAGTCACAGGCAGTCTAAGCCAGTTTCACTCGCTTCCCCTTGGAAATTCCCGGGATGCATATACTGAGTACAGATGTGAGCTGTAAAATCAACAAGCCCAGACACGGGACTGCCTTCTTCTGTATTTGCACTTTCTGTAAATCCATGATTGAGCAAGTGCCTGGAGGAAAAGCTATTGTGAAAAAAAACAGTCTTAAAAACATTTTTTTTTAAATTTTAAAACTATTTTCAAGTTCACACCCCACTTAGTGGATTTTATTATAGCATTTTCACACAAGTATGTCATTCTGCTTTGCCGGCACCCGTTTTCTTCCTCCACTGCCCCCTTCTGTGCCTCTTTCTGGCTACTGTCTTTCTTTCTTTTGATAGTTTTTTTTTTTCTGTTTTGTTACTGTCTTTCCATTATCTTGATGATCTCTTCCAGCTCTACCATGTTACCCATTCTAGTTTCATGGCCTATAAACACACGCATTCATAAACACACACATGCATATAATTTAAACTCTAGCTTCACCTACTAAAGAAAACATATAGATGCTTTCTGAGTCTGGATTATTTTGTTTAACATGGTGAGTCTTCAGTCCCATCAATTTACCTAAAAATATGGCAAACTTATTTTATAAACAGCTATCTAATATTACATTGTATTTATGAGCTACATCTTCATTATCAGTTTATCAGCTGATGACATCTAAGCTGATTCCATTTCCAGTTATTTTTGAATAGACTAGAAATGAGCATGTATAGACAAATGCCTCCACAGTGGGACATAGAGTCCTCTGGGATATGGCCAGGAGTGGAATAGCTGGGCTATACGGTTCTGTTTTTCACTTTTTGAGAAAACACCATTCTGACTTTCACAGTAGCTACAGGTTTACACTGTCATCAGCAGTGAATTAAGTTCTCAGTGTTCTCACACAGTCACTGACCGGCATTTGCTGTCATTTATTTTCTTGGTGATAGCTATTCTGACTGCAGACAAATGGAATCCCAAGACTAGAAGGGAAAGGAGAGAGGGCTAGTTGAAGGAATTCGGGGAGGAAAAATTAGCATGAAGAGGCATATGAAAACCTACTACTGTAGGAGCTTCTAAAATATATACCTATATGACAGGAATGTAAATGGAACCAACAAATAGCGGAGGAGAGAAAGCTCCAATAGACATGCCAATAAGTAAAACCTTCTTCCGTTGCCAGAGCTGGATCGCATGTAATGGATTCGCTGGCCAACGTGTCACAAAGGAAATCCCCAAAGATCTCAGTTTAGTTTGAAATTCTCTAATGGCAAGGAATTTAAAACACCTGTTTCAAGCGTTTCCTTGCCAGTTGTATTCATTCTGAATATAGACTATTCTGTCCAATGCCCATTTGTTGTTCGGCGGATTTGGCATTTTGGTAATTAATATTTGTAGTTCTTTATGTACCAGAGACCCTAGTCCCCTTTCTATTTACCGTTCGTTGGGTAATGACTTTTCCCATTGTGTAGTAAGCCTTCCTCTTTACCCTGGCGGGTGTTTCTTTTGATGAATAGGTGATGCCTGATTTCATGTCATCCTGTTTTTCAATTCTTGAAGTGATTTCCAGTTCTATTTTAAAACAGCATTTACCCAAGCATCTTGAAGTGTCTTATTTGTGTTTCCCCCTAGCTGTTTCAAAGTTTCAGGTCTTATGTTAGGCCTTTATGTGATCCATTCTAGATCAATTTCTTTTGTTGTTCAGGGTGAAATATTAATTTCCTTTTTCTTCCTGTGGAAATTCAGCTTCTCCAGATTGTTTGTTAAGGGTGTTGCCTCTTTTGCAATGTGTGCTTTGAGGACATCATTGAAAAAAGTAGGTATCAGTAGCTTTGTGGATCTATTTCTAAGTCCTCTACTGTACTCTGTTGACCTACATAACTGCTGAATGTCAATTCTGCCAACCCGTGAGTATGGGAAGTCTTCCTGTCTTCCAGGATGTCCTCAATGCTTTTCTTCAGTGTCTTAAAGTTTTGATTGTAGGGGTCTTTCACCTTCTTGCTTGGCTTTACACCTAGGTGTTTTATATATTTGAAGGCATTGCAAGCAATCTTTCCTAATTTCCTTCTCACAAGTTTATTCTTCATGTATCGAAAAACTACTGATTTTTATATCTGAATTTTGTAACCCACCATTTTGCCCCATGTGTTAACAAGCGTAAGAATTTCCTGGTGGAATCTTTAGGGTCTTTAAAAATATAGAACCATGTCATCAGCAAACAGCAATAATTTGGCTTATTTCTCTTTTATTTGTATAAGTTTATTTCCTTCTCTTCTTAGTGCTCTAAGACTTTGCCCATTACAGTGAAGAGAGGCTGAGCGAGTAGGCTACCTGTATCTCATTGTAGACTTTAGAGAACATGTTCTCGGTTTTCCTTTATGTATTGTGTTGGTTGCAGTGTTGTCATAGATGGCCTTTATTTTATTGAGATAGGTTCCTTCCATTCCTGGTTTCTTTGGGGCTTTTTTTTTTTTATCATGAATTGACATTGAATTTTATAGAAGGCCTATTCTGAATTGGCATCCATTTAGAAGATTTCTGTTCTTCAGTTTATGTACTGAATTATATTTACTGATTTGTGTATACTGAACCAACCTCAGAACCCTAAAATGAGTAAACTTAATTAAATGGGGTGTGTATGATATTTTTAATATGTTCTTGAATTTGGTTTGCTAATATTCTAATGAGAACTTTTGCCTAGGTGTTCATAAGGAAAATGGTTTGGTAGAATTTGGCAATGAATCCATCTAGTCATTGAGTGTCCTTTTGTTGTGAGATTTTGTATTACTATTCAAATCTTGCTGCTTTTTATACATCTCTTCAAGTTTATATACTCTTAAGTTTCATCTGGGTAGATTATGTTTTTTGTGACACTATTCATGGGTAGACACAAACAAATATGTCACCTGATAAGAAACTAACAACAGATTAAAGTAAAGATAGTTCCAAAGTCAATCTTGGCTAACAAATGGTTATTATTGGGATTACTACCAAGACTATGGGTGAAAGAGTAGTTACTTACAGGAGCAAAATTACTTGGGCAGCTGCATTTCTTTTTTTTAATTAATTTTTAAATAAATGATGGTTTATTCACTTTGTATCCCAGCTATAGCCTCCTCCCTCATCCCCTCCCAATCCCATCTTCCCTCCCTCATCTCCTCCCATGCCCTTCCCCAAGTCCACTGATGGGGTGGTTCTCCTCCCCTTCCATCTGACCCTAGCCTATCAGGTCTCATCAGGACTGGCTGCATTGTCTTCTTCTGTGGCCTGGAAAGGCTGCTCCCCCTCAGGGTGAGGTGATCAAAGAGCTAGCCACTGAGTTCATGTCAGAGACAGTCCCTTTTCCCCTTACTAGGGAACTCACTTGGACACTGAGCAGCCATGGACACAGGGCTACATCTGTGCAGAGATTCTAGGTTATCTCCATGCATGGTCCTTGGTTGGAATATTAGTCTCAGAAAAGACCCCTGTGTCCAGATTTTTTGGTTCTATTGCTCTCCTTGTGGAGCTCCTATCCTTTCCTATCCTCTCCAGGTCTCTCTATCTTTCCATTCTTTCATAAGATTCCCTGTACTCTGCCCAAAGTTTGGCTATGAGTCCAGCATCTCCTTTGATAGCCTGCTGGATAGAGTCTTTCAAAGGCTCTCTGTGGTAGGCTCCTGTCCTGTTCCCTGTTTTTTCCCTCTTCCAATGTCCATCCCATTTGCTTTTCTGAGTGAGGATGGATCATCTTACCCAGGGTCCTCCTTCTTGCTTAGCTTCAAGTGTACAGATTTTAATATGTTCATCCTGTGTTATATGTCGAATATCCACTTATAAGAGAGTATATACCATGTGTCCCTCTCTGCTTCTCGGATAGCTCACTCAGGCTGATCTTTTCTAGTTCCCACCATTTGCCTGAAATTTTCATGATTTCCTTGTTTTTAATTGCTAAGTAGCTACTCCATTGCTGGTGGGAATGTAAACTTGTACAACCACTTTGGAAATCAATCTGGCGCTTTCTAAGACAATTAGGAATAGTGCTACCTCAAGATCCAGCTATAGCACTCCTAGGCATATATCCCAAATATGCTCAAGTACACAACAAGGACACGTTCATACCAGCCAGAATGTGGAAACAACTCAGATGTCCCTCAACTGAGAAATTGATACAGAAGTTGTGGCATATTTACACAATGGAGTATTACTCAGGCAGCTGTATTTCTAAAGGCTCATCTCAGTGTGGCTCACAGCTCACAAAGCTGGAAACCTGGAGCCCACTGTATGAGTTGCAGGCAGCTCAACAGGTTGGACTCTTTCTTCTAAGCAGTTCAGGGGCTCTCTGCCTTTTTCAGGTGTATTGGCAGATGGAGTCTGAGCCTCTTCTAGACAGCTCAGGTTGTCTAAGTCTTTTAAGGAGCTTAGCTGGTCAGAAATTATTCTCAGAGGCTCCATTTGTCTCACTGTACCTTTCCGAAGTCCTTAGTGCTTATATACTTAGAGAAGGAGGGGCCTAGAGTATCTGGTTAGTTTCAGGGACTTCCTGAAGCTGTTGAATTGTTTACTTCCTGACCTCACTTAGACTACCCTGTCTTTACTGAGTATCCTTCAAAGATGGAAGATTTTATTTTAGAGGAAATTGCTTTACAACACATGTATGTCTAGGAATTTACTACTTTTTCTAAATTTTCCACTTTTTTAATATCAGTTTTCAAGGGGTTCTCTAATGAGTTTCTAGATTGTATTTTATAACATCCCCTTTTAGTCTTCAATTTTATTAATCCGAGTATTGTTGCTCTTTATTTTGGTTAATCTGGCTAGTATTTGCTCAATTTTGGTTTTGGTGCTTTTTGGGAGGAGGTTGTCTAGAATCAACTCTTTTGATACTCAATATTTTATTTTCATTTCTTCATTTTTATATGCTACTTTAAGTAGAATTCTTTAAATACAAGTTATTGGCAAGGAAAGTGCTGTTATAAGACATAATGTATCATGTCTGATTACCAGGATAGCACTGTGAGAGTCATCTGGGCCTACCACCCTGAAGATCCTGGAGAATCTGGTCCCAAGTACCATGACTCAAATCGGGGCACAAGGAGTCTGCGGTTACTGAACCTCGAGAAAGCCAGTGTGTTGCCCACAGCCTCACCATACTTTGATCTGGTAAATCAAAACGTAAGTTTCCTCTTTCTTTCTTTTTCTGTTTTTAAATAAAAAGATGGGTTAACTGAAAGTGTATAAGAGACCGTTTGCTTATATTATTGAATTTAATGTCATGTCAACCAAATGTGACTCCCTCCTTGCTTTTTCTTAAGACAGGTACCCATTCCAAACAAAGGCACAACATACTGGTGCCAAATGTTTAAGATCCCTGCATTCCAGGAAAAGCATCATGTAATAAAGGTATGTGACTTTCACGTGGGCCAAACTTTATTGATGTGAATAAAGAAAAAAAAAGTTTTTCTTAAAATGAAAATAGTAAAAAACATAGAAATGATTTCTAAGTATATGAAAGTTATCGAGAGAGAGGAAACTTTTATCTGATTCACACACTGTTTTCAGAGACTGAAAACTTGGATTATGGGTAGTATTTCATTTATGTTCTAATTTTACACATTTAAAGTGAATGGGAAATGTTTCTATAATAGGAATTTCTATTTTAAACAGTATATTGCATATTGATAAATTATATGCAGAAAGGTGACATTTCTCACTTGCATTGTTTGAGAATATCTGTTTCATTGAAAATACTTGATGTTGTCATTAAGAAGACTATTTTGTTGTTTTTTGAAGATAGAAAAAAATAATTGGTGAATCTATGCCAAATTGATGAGAATAAAAATTGGACAAGCTCAGAAAGTGGATAAGCTCAAATTGCCCTGGACATGCTGTTCTCCCTTCTCGTTCCCTGGGACTGAATCTCCCAAAACTCTTACGTCTAATTAATGAATGAACAGACCCCTGGCTCTGATAGTTATTGACAGTTCCAAAGAGATTGATAATGATGCTGTATGTGCTCCAAAATCTCACAGGGCTGTTGTCGAATAAGATACATATAACTATTGCCAGATGAATAATGTGAACCCTTAGGGCGCCTGAGGTTGCCATCTTCCTGTTGGTGCCCAAGGTACATTATGAAATAGTGTGGATGTGAGGGAGGAGCTAAGGGTGAGATTCTGGCATCTGGACAGCAGGTGGGTCTGAATTACTGGCTATTCCTTTCATCCGCATTCTGCTCTCAGGTGAAGGACCTTGAATAATGCTGAAACCACAGTTGTTGTTGTTGTTGTTGTTGTTTTTCTGGCATTAACAGTCTCTGTCACGACACTCTCCCTTCCAAGCGCAGAGCATTTAAGTTCAGCTGGAAATGCTCGTATGTTAGAGTGACTTGAATATGTTGATTTCTAATGTATTCACCCAGTTGTCCAGATCTGCCTTTGTTCCCAGGACGTTTCACATCTGCGTAGGGTACAGGGAATGTCTGAGTTGATAGATGCCAAACATCTACAGCATATATTTGTCAACACATGTGACAGTGACCATACGGCTGTGAGTGCATTGCTTACCTCGCCAAAAAGCTGTTTTTCCTGCATGCATATGTGAGGGGAAGGTGAATTCAAACCTATGTACTTAACGCCGGGCCAGAGTTCTTCGCTCATGTCAGTGAAGTCTTTCTCAGAAAACAGAACATTCATGAACACCACGTGTCATTTTCAATACATTTACAAGCTTCCGGCTTAAGAAACAGATGCAAAACTAGGTTCTGAAATGAGAACACACGTTTCACTAAGTAGGCCCTTTGTTTATTTTAAACCTTGATAGGTGATAAAATTTATAATTGTGTCCACTATGTGGCTAGCTGTGTGGCTTTCATTTGCTTGACACCTCACCAAGAATTCTTAGCAAGCACATTTTTCACAAGCATGTCATAATAACACATACAAAAGGCCCTCAGATACGTACTTTGGAAACTGTTGATGTCTTTACTACATGATTGTATCAAGAAGAATCAGTGGCTTGAATGACTTTACTTCTTGCAGTATTTGCAGTTCTACCAAAGCCCAGGAGCTCTTTATGTTGAGTAAGACAGGACTTGAAGGAGGGTCACCAAGTTTTTGACTGGGAGAGAGTTTTGGTGCCTTCTATCGTTTAGTTTAAAATATCACTCATAGATTTCTGCTCTTATCTCTCAGGCCCCAAAGTAAAGCTCACTTAATATTATGAAACCGGGTCCTCCACGTAAGAGAAGCAAGCCCTACTGGGAACAGGGTTGAAACGTTTGTGCTGTACAAGTCGTTTTGAGCCCTTCTTTCAAAAGGTGTTTTTTGTTTGTTTGTTTGTTTTGGTTTGGTTTGGGTTTTTTTTTTTTTTTTGTGAATGTTATAGCAAAATTCTAGTAAGTGTCTAAGGTAGAATTTATAGATCTACAGCCTTCCTGGTTCTTTCATCTGGTTTCCAGGCTCTTTGTCCTAGCAGAGACACTCTCCATTCCTTTATGGGCAATGTGCGATCTTCTCATAGAAACAAAGACTGGCAGTTTGAAACATGAGGGAGGTGTTTCTTGCGTTTTCTAGCTACTTGCCCAACAATATTAAATGGCGTTAAAAGGGCTCCACCAGGCTGGGAACCTGGCTCTTCAGGTAAGGGCATTGGCTGGGAAGCTTGACAACATGAAACACAGGGTGAAAGGAGAGAGCCGATTCCCCCAGGTTTTCCTTTGACCTCTCTACATGACTTATGCATACCTCTGCGGTGCCTGCACACACCTCCCAAAACACACTGAACAGATGAATATATTAAAAAAAAATTAGTCCTCTGACACAAAGTCCTTTTACTGAAGATTGTTTTTAAATTATCAAGTATGTGATTTACAATGAGTTTTAAAGCTATTGACTATAGATTGATTTTTATACGATGGAAACTAAACTATAATTCAAATAGAGTTTCTAGTTGTGGCACAAACATTGAGGCTGTATATTTTATGGCTGTAAGCAATAACAAAACTAAACAGATAAAATGTATGAGTCATCTAGTCATGGAATAATTAAAGTTAATGACATTAGTTCACTCTTAAGTTTTAATTTTATTCATGTAAAATTTTTTATTATAGGGCTTATGAAGTGATGAGGTAAATAATGTTGAAAATTACTAAAATTACCAAATAAATAATTTATCTAGAGAAAGATTATTTTTTAAATAATTTTCATTTTTACTAATCACAAATTATTCACTTTGTATCCCCCCTGTAGCTCCCTCCCTCCTCCCCTCCCAATCCTCCCCTCCTTCCATCTTCTCCACCCATACCCCTCCCCAAGTCCGCTGATCGGGGAGGTCTTCCTTTCCTTCCTTCTGATCCTAGCCTATGAGGTCTCATCAGGAGTGGCTGCATTGTCTTCCTCTGTGGCCTGGTAAGACTACACCCCCATTAGGGGGAGGTGATTAAAGAGCAGGCCAATCAGTTCATGGCAGAGGCTGTTCCCATTACTATGGAACCCACTTGGACCCTGAGCTACCATGGGCTACATCTGTGCAGGGGTTCTAGGTTATCTCCATGAATGGTCCTTGGTTGGAGTATCAGTCTCAGAAAAGACCCCTGGACCCAAATTTTTTGGTTCTGTTGTTGTCGACTTGTGGAGCTCCTGTCTTCTCCAGGTCTTACTATTTCCGACTTCTTTCATAAGATTCCCTGCACTCTGCCCAAAGGTTGGTCATAAGTCTAGCATCTGCTTTGATATCCTGCAGGGTTGAGACTTTCAGAGGCCTTCTGTGGAGGCTCCTATCCTGTTCCCTGTTTTCTCCTTCTTCTGATGTTCATCCTCTTTGCCTTTCTGAATGGGGATTAAGCATTTTAGCCAGAGTCGTCCTTCTTGATTTGTTTCTTTAGGTGTACAGATTTTAGTAGGTTTATCCTATATTGTATGTCTAATATCAACTTATGAGTGAGTATACCCTGTGTGTCTTTCTGCTTCTGGGACACCTCACTCAGGATGATCTTTTCCAGTTCCCACCATTTACCTGCAGATTTCATGATTTTTTTGTTTTTGTTTTTTTTTATTGCTGAGTAATATTCCATTTTGTAGATGTACCACAATTTCTGTATCCATTTCTCAGTTGAGGGGCATCTGGGTTGTTTCCAGCTTCTGGCTAATACAAATAAAGCTGCTACAAACGTGGTTGAGCAAATGTCCTTGTTACATATTTGAGCATATTTTGGATATATGCCTAGGAGTGGTATAGCTGGATATTGAGAAAGCGCTATTGTTAATTGTCTGAGAAAGCGCCAGATTGATTTCCAAAGTGATTGTACAAGTTTACGTTCCCACCAGCAGTGGAGTAGGGTTCCCCTTTCTCTACATCCTCTCCAGCATGTGTTGTCACTTGAGTTTTTGATCTTAGCCATTCTGATGTGTGTAAGGTGGAATCTCAGGGACGTTTTAATTTGCATTTCCCTGATGACTAAGGACGTTGAGCATTTCTTTTAAGTGTTTTTTCCACCATTCAATATTCTTCTATTGAGAATTCTCTGTTTAGCTCTGTACCCCATTTTATAATTGGATTACTTGATCTGTTGCTGTTTAACTTGAGTTCTTTATATATTCTGGATATTAGCTCTCTGTCAGATATAGGGTTGGTGAAGATCATTTCCCAGGCTGTAGGCTGTCATTTTGTTCTGATGACAGTGTCCTTTGCTTTTCAGTTTCATGAGGTCCCATTTATTGATTGTTGCTCTTAGAGCTTTTGCTGTTGGTGTTCTCTTCAGGAAGTTGTCTCCTGTGCCAATGAGTTCCAAGCTCTTCCTCACTTTTTCTTCTAACAGATTTAGTGTGTCTGGTTTTATATTGAGGTCTTTGATCCACTTGGACTTTAGTTTTGTGCAGCATGATAAATAGGGATCTATTTTCATTTTTTTCTGCATGTAGACATCCAGTTAGACCAGCACCATTTGTTGAAGATGCTATCTTTTTTCCATTGTATGGTTTTTCCATCTTCATCAAAGATCAGGTGTCCATAAGTGTGTAGGTTTATTTCAGGGTCTTCTATTCGATTCCATTGATCCACCAGTCGGTTTCTATGCCAGTACTATGCAGTTTTTAGTATTGTTGCTCTATAGTACAGCTTGAGATCAGGGATGGAGATATTTCCAGAAGATCTTTTATTGTAGAGGATTATTTTAGCAATTCTGGGTTTCTTGTTATTCCATATGAAGTTGAGAATTTTTCTTTCAAGTTCTGTAAAGAATTGTGTTGGTATTTTGATGGGAATTGCATTGAATCTGTAGATTGCTTTTGATAAGATGGCCATTTTTACTATGTTAATCCTGGCAAGCCATGAGCATGGGAGATCTTTCCATCTTCTGATATCTTCTTCTAATTCTATCTTCAGAGACTGAAAATATTTTCCAT